GTGCCTCTCACTGTTGTGGCCTCTCCCGTTGCGGAGCACAGGCTCCGGATGCGCAGGCTCAGCGGCCATGGCTCACGGGCCTAGCTGCTCCGTGGCATGTGGGATCTTCCTGGACCAGGGCACGAACCCGTGACCCCTGCATCGACAGGCTAACTCTCAACCACTGCGCCACCAGGGAAGCCCTGGAGTTTTATCTGTTTTTTCCTGAACTTAGCTATATGACACTAGCTATAATGTCTCCCTGGCGGCTTGTTTGCTCTGTCTTAAATTCTTATGATTGAGAAACTGAGGCACTGAATTTGGATTCACAGGAAGGTATTTATGACAGCTTTATGTAATTGAAAGGTGCTGCAGTGAAGGGGACATTCAAAGCTCACACACACGCACACATGCAGTACACGTGGGTTGGCTTCCATAAAGCTAGAGTGGAATATTAAATATCGAGTACTGAATTCTTAATTGTAAACTTAAGAACTTAACCTTAACTTTACATATACATAGATAACAAAGTGGTCACTAAAAGCACTTTAACATCAGGACAGATGTTAAGTTTTGAGGTTCTTATTTCAACTGCTCTACATACAAAATGTCCTAGAAGCAAAGAAAGGTTTAAATACAGAGACAAGCATGATGTAAAGTGTGACTGAAGAAATGTGGGTCTGGAGAGGTTCGACAGTGTGGGGTCCTGGCCTGCAGGCGCAGCTTGTAGCAAGACAGGTGCTCTGTCCCTCAGGTGGAGGGGAGGACCTGGGGGGCACCCTTGAGGGGGGAGGAAGACAGGATGTGGACAGCTCATGACCAGACGTCAGACCACATTTGCAGACCTCACAGGCCCAGTGGTGTCATCAAGGGGGCAGCCTCAGGGAGCATGGGAGAGGACAAGACTCTTTCGAGTGACCCAGGATGACACAGAGAGGGCGGGTCCTCTTAAGACAAAACTCTGTCAGCCCGTCCCTTCAACCAACCTGTCCCTTCAACCAGTAGCTCACTTGCATGCCTGTTGCGGGCCCCCAAGAGGGCAGCAGGGCCCTGATACGGGCAGTGGCCCACAGCAGGGAGGTCTGCTGACAGGCCTGCTTATGGCTAAGGCACACCCAGGCCTCAGGGCCCAGGCAGCTGACCTGAGCGATCCCAACATTCCTTCCTTCACGGACACCGAGGCTTTGAGAAACAGCCTTCACGGTGCTGGGTGACTAGACTTGAACCAACAAGCAGTTGTGACTAGCAAAACCACTCACCACCCCTCATCAGGGAGATGATCCCAGGTGCCGGAAGCTAAAGGTGGCAGCTGCTTTGACTGCCCCCAACGTCACCATCACCTGGGGCACCTCCTCAACTATCCAAGAGGAGCACAGAACCAAGAATGGCTGTCTGGGCCTGGCAGAGCCTCCTGGGGTCCAGCTCAGGAAAAGTTTTCAATGCTGTTCTGAGACCCAAGGCAGGTAGGTTTCCTCCTCCTTCCCTCTGAAAACAGGGCAGGGGGCCAAAGGAGTGGCTGCCTGCAGGCTCGTGGAGCTTCAGGTGTCTGCAAACATTCTCCGCAAAGGAGGCTGCAGAGCTGCCAGAAAGCAAGCCCCTATGATCTGGCACCAAGTTGGGCTGAGGAAGGTCCCTCTCCCCTGCTTCTTGCCCCGCACTATGGACGCTGACAGGGGGAGGGTGGCTGGTGCAAACACAGGAGTTTCTGCTCTGGGCGCCAGCTCTGTGAAGCCACACACACACACGCACACGCACGCACGCACACACGTGCACCCCCACAGCTGGACAGTGAATCCAGTCAAGGCGCAGATGTTTGGAAGCCAAGTTCCTGGGTCCCCCAGGGCCCCTAGCTAGAGGCCCCAGCTGCCAAAAGGATGGATGCTGGACAGAAAGGCAAGCTGGGAAAAGCACTGTTGGCAGGATGTGCATTTTTGTCCCTGACATGAGCAATGACTTCTTCCCTCTAATTTTGGGCCAGAAACTGGTGTCTTTCCTCTGGGCACTGGAAGCTGCCATGAGCAGAGGAAACACTCCAGCGCAGCATAGAGGCCCAGGTGATGGAAGTCATATGGCACCTCGGTGGTAAGGACCACCCCTGCATGCAGGATCAGGAGCTGGCCGGTGGCTGGCACTCCACTCCCTGCCCAGACGCACTCTCTTGAAGATGTGACTCAGACGTGGAAGCAGGACTGGCAGCTCAAGTCCACTTTGAAGGATGGCTCTGGAAAGTTGGCTCCAAAATCCCACCTGCGAGCCTTAGCACCTGGACTCCTGGTACTCGGCAAGAACGGCCAGCCGGCCCTTCCTGGGACGACAGGAATTGGCCCTCCACACTCCCCAGGGACTTGGAAGCTCTGGAGACAGTCGGGAAAGAAGCCTGGGGACAGCCACACCAGCACGTCTCTAAGGAAAGCTCAAGTGCCATCTGGGTGGAAGTCGGGGACAAACCAGGCCCCACAGAGGCCCAAAGAAGCTGAGTGGCCCTGTCCACAGGGTCTCACAGGAGGCTGGCCAGGCTGGTGTTGGGTCCATTCTGAGCTTGGAACTGCACAGGAGGTGGGCCGTCTGTCCACTGTTGGGGAAGAGGACACACAAGTGAGGTCCTTCTTAGAGAGGAGCAGGGATGTGCTGGGCCACATGTCTGTGCCTGGAATGCTGCCCTCCTGGGGCTGGTCACCAGCCGGGACCCTGCGTCTTCCACACTTGAGTCAGATGGGCCCCCAGGAAGCAGCCTGCATCACCCACTTGGGTTGGTGCTATCTTGCCCATCCAAGGGGGCTCCTGAGGCCAGGCTGAGTTAGGGATTGTTGGAGAGATGGAAGGAAATGGTAGCCAAGTGTGTACTTCCCTCCTCAGGAAGCGTGCCCCCCCGGGGCTACAGACCAGGTGAGCTGGCCCCAAGGAGCCAACCAGCACCCTCATTTTGTCTCTCCCACCCTGTGCCCGTACCGTGATGAGGTTGTGCTCAGGGAGGCTGCATGCCTCGATGTGGTCCTGGAGCAGCTGCTGTGAGAAGTTCTGGTGCATCTGGGCGGCTTCATGGGCATCCATGGCATTCCCGCAGGCTTTGTTCAGGTCTGAGGGTGGGATACGCACAAAGGATGGGCCTGCTTTGGCCTGCCACTGCCCCCACACCCTCCCCTTGGGTGTGGGTGGAGCCCTAAAGTCAAACCCCAGCTCTGCCAGTGGGTTGCTGTGTGCCTGGCACATCCCCTGCCCTGAGCCCTGTGTCAAGGTCAGCAAAGCCCACTTGCCAGCAGCCCTCACATGTGCCCTCCTATGCTCCTGAGTTCTCTGTCCTTGGAGGTGGATGAGCAACAAGGCCCATAGGGGCAGATATAAGGGCTGGTAGGGCACTGAAAGTCCCTGGGGCTCCCTGTGGATGCAGCACTCAGCACTCCCAGGGATTTCCCGGCCAGCTAACTCTTGGGCACCCAGGAGCCCACCGGGAGCAAGGCACCCAGTGCTCACTTCTGAGGCAGGAGGACTGAATGGGTGCATGAAGTCCACTGCAGATAGGAACAGTTTGCCCTCTACCTCCTCCCCAGGGCCCTGGGTGAGTCTATGGACCTCAGTTTCACAACCTGTAAATGGGAGAGCAGCAGTAACAACACTGACACCTGCTGAGCACCCTGGCTCGTCCTGCCTGACAGAAATGACTGCCACCCCCATTCATGGGAAAGAAACTGAGGCCAAGTGCCAGGGCTCACAGCTCAATTCTTCACTCAGATGCCAAGAACTAGCCTTGTGGGTCCCAGAGAGACAGAATCAGATTCTGCGTAGATCTCACTATGTGAACGTGCCCACTGCCCTCAAACAGGGCCTCCTGAGAAGCTTGAGAATGTGCTAGAACTGGGGCTATGGCCTGCAGAGGCCCAGTCTGAAGCAGAGGCTTAGCAAGGCTTACCTAGGGTCCTCTAGCCTTTGGCTCTACCCAGAAGCCCCAATCTCTTACTCACCTCTTAGCAGGGCCGATGACCACAGCTGCACTGACATGTCTGGGATCTTGCTGGCTAGCTGCATGGCTGGCACCACCATGTTGTTACTCTCCTGTCGATCGAGAGCAGTAGGAGTCAAGGGCGGGGGTTGGTGGTAGAAAGGGCTGGTGGCAGGGACAGCGTGGGCCCCACCTGTGACCTCCTGCTGCTTGGAATATACCCACTCCTACTTCAGAGCCTATCTCAAATGACCCTCTCTGAAGTACTCCTCGACCACCTTAGAAAAATAAACTGCCCTCACGCCTCAGCTCTGCATGTGCCTCCTCCCTGGGGTATGGCCATGGGCAACTCTATGTGCCTTTGTCTTTCTAGCCAGAGGAAAAGGCACTGGTGGCAGTCAGCCCTGGACCCATATCAGGAGCTGATTAGAAATACAGATTCAGGGGTCCCAGGGCTGGGCAAAAGCAGCAGTCTGTCCTGGCAGGAGCAACAAGGGCTGAACAGACAAAAGAGAGAGGAAGAGAAGCTTCTCTTCTACATACGAGCCTGCTCTTGTGCGACGCCACCTGGGACACACAGGGCTGTTGGGGCAGCAGGATGTTTGAACCCTCCAACCCTGACTCCACCACGTGATTGCAACAGCGCCCCCAGCCCTTAATCCCCAGGATGAGCTGAGTGAGAGCCGCTGGGGGCTTTAAACACCCATCCTTGACCCCGCAGTGACCAGCAGCACTGCTGTGACTCCACCCAGTACAGAGACCACAGCCTGCTGGCCTAAATGTTGGGTTCAGGGTGACACTGGGAAAACTCCCAATGCGGCAATATCTTGCAGCCTGGGGGACACTTGGCATGTAGCCCAGTGACGTACAAATCCTCAAAACCAACTCCTGAGGCCCAGATTCAACATGGCCACAGTTGTGCAGGACATGCCACCACACAGACACAAAAGCCCAGTGACTTTATGCTGCCCTGTGGCCAGCACCTTGAAGATAAGCTCCACGTGGGTCTCAAAACTTTTCAAAATTGAACCAAGCCCTTCCAAGACCTCAGAACGCGCAGCAGAACAGGAAAAACTACTCTTCTCCTCTAGGCCTGGGGCTGGGAGGGAGCTTCCAGGAGAGCCCCCCTTGGCTCAGGTTCCCCCATGACAGCGTGGGGCTGCCCCACAAAACCTGGGTTTGAAGAGCGGGGTGATCCTGAGA